GGATGCTCAGAAATCCTTGTGTTCCCACCCCACCACCCAGGACAGTCATTGTAATCCCATAATCTGATCTGAAGTCACCTCAGCAGGTGTTTTGAGATCATCTGGCTTCTCCCACGTCGACTGCTTCGTCTCGGTGTTGTAGTAATAAGTTCTTCCATCGGGAGATTTGTGCTCTGTCCACGTGGATTTCTAGGAAAATTAGGAGATGCCAGGAATAGTGAACAAAGGATTGGTGAGCAGGGTGGTGTCAGAAGGCAGGAGAAAAGGGGAACACAAATGGGAAGCAGCCAAACCTGCTTGGAGTGATCCTCGCTGGCAGAGCTGGTGGTGGTGGCTGTTTGCTGGACCGTGGACACCACGGGATGGGTTGTCTGGGAATGAAACAAAAAGAGCCCTGAAAATCCTGGATATTTGCTGGTTTTCTCATGAATTTATCAAGTGCTCAGCAGCCCAAATCACACTTGTTATCATCTATATTTAATGACTAAGCTGGGACAAGGGCCTCAGATTTCAGGCAACAGTGAAAAACCTGGAAGGAGGAAAGGAGGGAGAAAAGGTAGGGAAGGGAAGGGGTTTGTTCCTAGGAGAACTAAAACAAACAGACTCCAATGCTCAGAAATCAAAGATATAACAGAAACCTCCCCTAACGGAACCATCTGCATTAATTACACACTGACAGTCAAATAAGCAAGAAAAAAAGCTTTGTCTGAGAGGAAAAAGAGGACCCAGGGTGTTCTCTGAAACCTCTAAACCATTCCAACCTTCTGGGATTGGCCTTCTCCCATACCTGAGTTCCAGGAGGGGTTACACCTGAAAAATAAGCATAAAAAATTAGAAAGGGTTTGGCTGCTTCATTTTCTGTATATTAATTCATGTGTGAGAGAAAATGACGTCCTGGGAAGCAATGAAGAGCTCAGTCACTGCAATGCTAAATTAAATTTACAGACTGTTGGGTTTCTTTTTTTTTTAATATTTCAACTAATTTTGGTCAAATATTTGAAGTCATAAAGAGTTTTTGATACTCACCTACTTGTGCATCCATACTGTTCACCCCTGGCTGCAGAAACAACCAACAGACACGTCATTACTGAGTGCAACTGGGATTAAATCACCGAGAAATACAGTATATATCCACCCAAACTAGTGCTTCCTGCCACAAAATGCTCCTTTAATTCCTTAAACAGGGATCCCTGCTCCTTAAATAAGCAATCAGGGACGTGGTGAGGAGCTCCCTGGGGTCATTCCGTGCCAGAAGCCTTGGGGTGTATTAGTGGTGCCTTGATGAGTCTGGAGCTCTTCCAGATGCTCTTCTTGGAATTCTTTCAAACCGAGGAAAAAGAGGATCAGAATTCCAGGAGTTTTCCCAATATCTTTCCCTGCAGGCTAAAGCAGAGCTTGTGGATTTGGCTTTAGCCAGGGTTTATTTTCACTCCAGGCTTATTTCATTTCAATACTCCTCAAGAAACAACGAAAAATTGGTTAAAAATTGAAAATAAATCCCACTGGATGCATTGTGCTGGATTTTATCCAACAGGACTAAACCAGGGGGATTCTCAACACCCTTTAAGTGCTTTCTGTGTGTCAGGCATGTCCAGGAGCACAGAAGTGCCAGGTAACCCCAGTGCAATCTGTGTCTCCACAAGGGATCCTTCCAACATTCCCTTCCCAACTTCCGTTCTAATGGAATTAAGAGCAAAAATGGTCATTTTTAGGAGCTGCACTGAAAGTTCACCAAGGGCTGCAAAGGTGGCCATTGACAGGATTGTTTTACTCCTCCATAATTATTTCCATGAGGAAGTGGCAAACTCATGCCCTTTTCTTCCTAAATCCCACATATCCAGGATTAATTCCATCAATATTTACTCCTAGTCCAGTATTATAAATTCAAATGATTTGCCCTCTTTGCAAAATATGTAAAGTGACTCATTAAAATTGAAAATCAGGGTAATTTTGGTGCTGATCCAGGGGATGTTACATCCCACTCCTGACTTTATTTGTTTTGCAGGAACTTCGTGTCTTTGTGAACTTCCAACTTTTAATCTTCTGGATTTTAATTCCCTAAATCCTCTGGATGACACAGTTACCTCTGGTCACACAAAAATATTCAGCAGATTAATTAAATCTCTCTTTCAACAAACTCTTACTGAGAAAAAAAACCAAGTGGATTATTAACCAATTTAAGTGTTAAAATAACCCACAAAAGGGGGAGCAAAGGTCTGCGCTCCAGGAAATGCCAGACTTTGACAGGGATACAAAATCTGCATGGGAAGAAAATGTAAAATAATTCCTTTCTAAATTTAAGTGACTGCAACTGGTTTTAAATGGATTTCCTGAAGTTAATTTGAATTAAAAATTACGTTCAGAGGAAAGAAATTTACTTTTCACTTCAGACACTTCACTTGGACTTCACCATTTCCACCCAAATATCTTCTTTATTCCTTTGAATTCCAGGAATTTCAGCAAACTTTGCTGCTCAACGTGCTGAATTTCAGGAACTTTTGCCAAAAAAATCCACTTACAAGAGACTAAAATCTATTCAACATTTAAATTGTTTTTAAACAACGTCTAGGAAGATTTTATCTACAGATCTTTCACTTCAAATTCTTTATGTCCACGCCAAGAAAACAAAGCCTGAGCACCAGCAGAGGCCTTTTGAGAAGTGGAAAAGCTTTAAAAAACGAGGGAAGAGAAGTTAAACTCACAGGAACCGTGGGCTGCATGGCAGCCTGGGACATGTGGGACATCATCATTCCAGGCATCACCGACTGCATCATCCCAGGCATCTGCAATTAAACAATTTGGGATACACTGGGTGACATTTCAGCATAAAGTACAAAGAGTCTGTTAGTTTTATTTTAAAGCCATTATGTGATGTTAGTTTTTAATTAAAAAAAAAAAAATTAAAACCACAACAACCAAACAAGCCTTTTAGGCAACAAAAATAGGTTTGGAGGATTCTGATTCCTTTCACCACATTCCACAAAATAGGGATGTTCATACTGGGAATAACATGTCCACAGACTCAAAATTAAAACAGGAATATTCTTATTAGGAATGTCTACAGATTCCAACACAAAACAGGAATATTCATATTGGGAATAAATAACATGGCACACACTCCAAAATAAAACAGGAATATTCATATTAGGAATGCCCACAGATCCTGAAGTTTGGTATGAAACATCAATAAAGACAATTTGAATTACATAAAAACAATATCAAATAATGTGTGATGTGTTAATGAGCAGTTACTGAAACCCCAAGGGAAAGCAGGAAAAATAAAGGTTGGGAAAGATTCCCACTGGATTTTCCTGCCAACCTCTCTCTGCTCTGCTTGGTGACATTTAGTCTCCACTTCTGTATCCACCATCCCAAGGAGCATCACTAGATTATTATATTTATTACCATTATAATACTTGTTATATTAAGGATTAGGATTCAATCGGGAATTTGGCCAAAATTCAATATATGATTATTTCTTGCCTTGTTATAATTTTCATCTGTAAGAATTAGAGAATGGAAGAACCATGAAGTTCTACCTGTGAGAAGTACCACAACTCTCTGTTTCTAGTGTGTAAGCCAATTTTATTTTAATTTTACTTCTTCAAAAGCTGCAGAAAACTACAAAAAAAAACCCCAACTTTAACAAAACCCAAATTAAGGGTTTTATCTATTTACAGTAACTTACACAGAGGTGCATCCCACCTGCTACCCACGACAAGAGTTTCTGCAGGGACGGGATCAAATCCCCCGAATTACTGACCCTTCCATTCCCCAGCTGCTGGGGAGACTTGTGGGATCCCCTGGAATGATTCTGGGAAGGAAGGAAGGAATGTGGCAGTGCCTTACCTGCCCCATTGGGGGTCCCCCCATGGGGGGCATCATCTGGGGCATCATCCCGTGGGGAACAGGAGGCATGTTGGGGGGTCTCTGCCCCATGGGGTGCATCCCCATGGGGGGGTAGTGGGGCATCCCCGGGTGTCCCATCTGGAAGAGAGCAAAAATCAGGGAAAAGCAGCATGAAACCACCAGGAGGAACACAGAAATGTGGCACATTATTTACACTGACCCTGAGAACCAGCCCCCAGGGTGGGTCACCCTTCCCTGTCCTCCAGAGCTCAAGAGCATGAACCAAACAATATAAAGTTCAAGGCCAGCATCCCAATGGAAAAGAACCCCCCCCCATCATCTTTCACCCTATGGTTTCACACAGAAAAACCCATGGAATTTAGGGATACAGCTACTTCCACGTGTTTTTCCATACAGGATTAACACAGGTCACCCTGAGGCACAGAGTCCAGCAGGTGAAGTGTCCTCTGCTCTTGATGTCCAAGTACAAGGAATTGCTTCTACCCTGACAACCATCCCAGGCTCTTTTCCTGAAAACCCAAATCCTAGTGCTGCCCTAGTACTTGGTACAGTCACACTTTCCTATTTTCTTTAATTTACCAAAACCCATCCAGAGCTTCCTATTCCAGCAGAAGCACCAGCTCTGAGAGCACCTCGAGATCATCCTGGGCAGCATCTTCCTCTGAGGAACAGGCTGGGCAGGAAAGAAAACAACACTTCTTTTTGTCCATGGAATCCCAGAGTTGTTTGGGTTGGAAGGGACATCTTTGAGCCCTGGGCAGGGACACCTTCCACCAGCCCAGGTTGCTCCAAGCCCCGTCCAACCTGGTCTTGGACACTTCCAGGGATCCAGGAGCAGCCACAGCTTCTCGGCCCAACCTGTGCCAGGGCCTGCCCACCCTCCCAGCCAGCAATTCCTTCCCAATATCCCATCTGTCCCTGCCCTCTGGCAGTGGGAAGCCATTCCCTGTGTCCTGTCCCTCCATCCCTTGTCCCCAGTCCCTCTCCAGCTCTCCCTGGATCCTTCTCTTCTCCAGGTGAACCCCCCAGCTGTCCCAGCCTGGCTCCAGAGCAGAGGGATCCAGCCTTCGCATCCCCACAGGGTGGAACTTCTCCCTAATCTCTCATCCAATCCTGCTCCCTTTCAGTCTAACAACAGTTATCCCCTTATTTTAGTTCTCCCAGAAGACTCCCTAGGGTTGGGAGTCACACAAAGACACCACAAGCCACCAAAAAAGTTGGAACGTTCTGCATGGAACATTCGACCTCCTCAGCTCACACTCTCAAATCCCAGCACAGGCAGTGACAGCTCCTGTTTCCTGAGTCTCTGGTGCTGCCCAGGTAATTCCAGGGATAACAGTGTTCCCTAGAAATCTCCTCTGTCCCTTCCCAAAGCGTTACCACATTTTCTTGTCCTTTCAGAGGGACCTGCCACCCCAGTGCCACTGTCACAGACAGCCCCTCGCTGCCGGTGGCTGTGGTGGGGGTTCTTAGAGCGGGAATGGTGGGGAGTCCTGCTCCCCTCAGCTCCCTGCAGAATCCCAGGATAGTTGGGGTTGGAAGAGACCTCTGGAGATCATCCACTGCAACCAGGGGCACCCAGAGTATCTGACACAGGAATGTGTGCAGGTGGGTTTGGAATGTCTCCAGAGGAAGATTTCCCCCAGGGTGTGTCAGGGGCTGCAGGAGGGGCAGAGGATGGACCAGGCTCTGCTGGGGGGGCCCAGCAATGGCTCAGGAGGATGGGCAGGAACTGATGGCCAGGGAGTTCCACCTGCACAGGAGGAAAAACTTCCCTGGGCAGTGACTGAGCACTGAACAGGCTGCACAGAGAGGGGGTGGAATCCCTCACTGGGGATATCCCAGAACTGCCTGGACACAGCCCTGTGCCATGGGATGTTATCCCATCCAGCTCTGGGATGGCCTGGCTGGAGCAGGGAGGGGGGACCAGGGACCCAGGGTGGTCCTTTCCAACCTGACCCATCGTGGGATTCCAACCTGACCCATCGTGGGATTCCAACCTGACCCATCGTGGGATTCCAACCTGACCCATCGTGGGATTCCAACCTGACCCATCGTGGGATTCCAACCTGACCCGTCCTGAGATTCCAACCTGACCCGTCCTGAGATTCCAACCTGACCCGTCCTGAGAT